CCCTGGTGCCTTAGCCTTATAGCAGCAGTCGGATATGCGCCGATGAAGCTTTATGCGTCATTGTCGAACATTATTTTATGTGCTGCCGGTGTCGTATTGAGTCAGTTTCATTCGTGACACTTATTATGCTTGTTCGTCATGTTTTTAGTGCATTTTGAATGCTAGGATATTGTGTACGCCATCATAACAGGCGAAGCAAATACTCTACATGGGTCACCAGCCATCACCTGACAACATCGACGAGGCGGCTGGCAGTAAATAAGCTAAGAAACAAGTTCATGCTGAATTCGTATGGCATTTAGCAGCCAACTGATGAGGGCCTAATAAATGGCGCAAGGGTCTAATAAGACACATCGGGGCCCAGACGAAACGGGTCGACGGCCCCTGTTCAGTACTGAGCCCCTGGCTGATATCGTATCTTTCATTGCCTCACTTTGGCCCCTTTCATAAATCACTTTCCTATCAGAGGATCCGACTCACGCAGGATGTCCTATTACAGGGCCCCCTGCCCGGTACAGGGTTCCCCATTATCTCAGGGATTCCGACCAATGCTACAGGTCTTATGACTGACACTCGCAGGGTCTGACCTTGACCCTGCTTGGAAAATGCCCCCCTCCCCCTCCCCTTGGCCGACATGGCGCCGACTGCATGGCATTTGCGTTCAGTGGGCAGCATGAGGATGTTCAAATCGGGGCGGGGTGGGTGGGGGGTGGGAAGCTTGGCGCAAGTGGCCCTCTTGATGAATGACGTTTGTGGGCCCTTGCCAACAGGACTGGGGTTCATTGATGCCATATGACCAGCTATTAGGGCTCTTCGAACATCTCATTCGGATCAACTATGTTCGGTTCCCAAGACCCGTTCAACCCTCGAGGCCTTCGGGAGAGGTGCATTTCCCCTGTGCCCCTTGCCCGCGCCCCCAGGTCCATGAGCAGCCAGGGGAGCCCTTGGGCGGTGGAAGTGCCTTTGAGCTGCCAAAAGGCCCCTGTGCAGTTGAGGACAGTGGGCACTGAGGGGACAGTGGGCGCTCGATACACCAGATACAGCGGCCACATGGGCCCTGAGCACACAGGTCCCTGAGTAGACAATGCGACCCCCGCGGGCCGAAGAGCCCTTGGGTAGTTCCGAGATCCTTTTGGTGTTCTTAACAGACTTTGAAAGACCAGGGGCTCAGAGTAGCTATAAATTAAACCAACGAGAGTGTTTCTGCCAGCAACGGCCAGACGAGCCCATAGTTGACATACGGAGCCTACTGAATATCTATGGATTGTACTTCGCTTCGGCCTAAATTCCTATCCTGCAAAACCTATTTTAGAGAGATCTCATTCAGTGCGTTAATTTTCATCCGAGGCGCGTGAGCTGAAAAGGTCCCTCCGAGGTAATAATGCAATCACAATGGCGGTTGAACATCCCAGTAATCAAACTAATACAGACGATGAGTGCAGAGTTGAAGTGTAAGTCAGTTGCATTCGCCGCTGATCCGTGCATGTTCGTCCGAATATGAACATAAAATACGATGTGAAAATAAATCGTTCCATTTCGGCCATACGAAAATACCACCCCAATTGCCAGTGAGCCAAAATCAGAACAAGTAGGTAATTCACGTATATATGCACCTAGCTGGTGACAGGTCATGCAAGTCATCTCTCTCGGGATGCGCGAAATATTGTGCGTGATTAATGCATTGTGAGGGTGGCAGCAGCAAAAGTGCGTCTTTACCACAAGGCTGCGCTTTTCACTGACATGTATGGTAGCACACTGGCACAACGAGACCATTACAGATTGCGAGGTTCGAGATGTACTAAATAATTTTCGAGGCGGCTTTACCGCAGATAACAGCACTGGCGTGTACTAATGAATTGTTACAAGAGTTGTTGATTGCATTTGCGAGGAACATGCATATAGATAAGTCAGTATGCATGGCCTTATCCATCGTAAAATAACCAGGAGAATGTGGAGATCGATGTGCTATTTCAGCTACATGCCTTTATCGACTACTGATATTCGTTTCCATAAAGGCATGTAGCCGAAATATCACATCTATCTCTCCATGCTCGAGAAATGGAGAGATATGAGAAATAAGACTATTAGTACTGTCTTATCGATCAATTGGTATGTCCAAATTCTAGATAATTGACGCGCTGCCGGGGCAGTTTGTTCGGCATCCCTCAGCTGTTGCATTTGTGGAGCCCATTTATCAATAAAATTACAAGAAATGTGACAGAATATAATACAACAAAACATGGCGACCATTAGAACCTACAAACACAACTTCATGGATAGGTCTAAAAAAGCCAATTGTATGTCCGTGGCGCGTGCGTTTAAATCGCTGGTTTGGAATACACCGTCCTCAATCACCCGGGGCGTCACCAGATATTCCGGCTAGTTGTACGTACTCCAGGGAGCTGACCCCACGTTCTGATAAATACCGGAAAATACATCGTTTGGTAGGTTTGCAAATTTCGCTGGCTTTGCCCTCTTCAGCTACCACCACCAACATTTGGATATTGGCGCCACACTATGTCACACGAGTCATTACCATGTAAGATTAATACACAAGTCACCTCTTCTGCATTTTGATCATCCAGTGTAAGGTCAGTGGCCTAGAAGACGCAGCTTTCTGCTGGTTTCTTCATACGCAAGGCGACAATAGCTAGTCAATGGAATCGAGGTAACACTAGGTAGTTACCCGAGTCGCGCTGTCGTGCCTGACGTCAATGGTATTTAGCAGCCAACTTTAACCTATTATGTCATTTTTTCTCCAAAATACACATCTCAGAATGGCAAGATCCACCAGCCTCTGTTGAAAATAACCGGCGTCATGTACCCCCACTACGTCTAGCACTCCTAGATGCGCAGAGGAAGGTAGTTCTGTAAAAAGCAGATCATGATCTGAAAATGAAGTGACTGAAATCCAGGCACTTACGTGTGGGTGGGGGTGGGGGTGGGGGGTGGGCAAGAAGCACCAGCTTACAGCGGTCACCAAAGCGAAGCGTGACCTCCTCCCCTGACGAAGTCCTGGATCCGCCCTGCCGCACACTTAGATTGTAGGCTGGACAACAATGTCCTAGACGCGGCAGTCCGGAAGATCGTTCATGCAGAAATACCCAATGTCACCTCCTCCCAAGCAGGATTTTAGTTTGATTGAAAGGGTTGAGCCTCTGGAGCACACAATCATTGGGAAAGAAAAACAAACGTGACCTGCGTCACGCGCCGAGTGAAGCTGGACGCAAAAGCTGCCGGCTAGCAGCGCAAGTCAAGAACATCAACGTGGATGGACACGCCGGGCATCGCCCATTCTGTGGACGGGCGATAGGCATCGACATGGAGTTCGCTGGTTCTGCACAGTTTGGAGTTTGGTAGCGCGCGAGATGGTGAAAATCACGTGATGTTTCCGATTGCGGTGCCTATCCGTTGATCCCGAGCTGGCGGTCCAGTCCGGCGATTTTCACACAGTGATCCGTACTCTTCAACGGCGATCTGTGTGCCTCAGCAACGATCCAGGTTCAACGGATCCATGTTCTTCAACGGCAATCCATATTCTTCGAACGGCAATCCATAATTTTCAAGGGCGATCCATGTTCTTCAGGTTTTACGCAGTTGAAATGTTTTCTTTTTCATGTTAAACGAACAGGGAAGATGAAATCGTGGTGGCATTGTAATGCTGTAATAAAACCCCACCTCATCAAACAGCCTTTCTGCAAATTTTCCAGTGTATATGTCACAACTCACAAAAATACGCTTCTTGTTTCTTAAGACTGTTTGAACGTTGGACCAGTGGCGGCAATTAGATCAGTCTTGAGATCGTGTGGCGGCCGGACAGGCTGGACCGTGGCCGAGTTGTGAAGCCGTCATAGTTAACGTGAGGGTCTCTCGGCATACGTCCGCGCTCAAGACCATCCTGCGATCTGTGATCGTCCCGGCTTTATCCGTGATCTGCATGTTCTGTAACCATACAGCCACGTGGAAGCCCAAAGACACATCAACCGCCTCGGCGCCTGTCGACAGTCGCTTCATCGTTCGCATATCTGCAGCGTTTGGCGTACACTTGGCAATTTCAGTGGCCTAGCGACTTCTGTAGACTTCTGGGCCGACAACACACTCACCGTCACAGAAACCCTTGTCAAGTCCGGGATCACGTCCGTAACCACCCAAACCCCCCAGTTAGTCGCGTTAGCTACGGTTGTAGCCTAATGAAACTGGAGCGATACACACCGCTGCCCGGCTAGGGGTACGACTGTGTCTGGTGGCCTGCCTCATTGCTTCCGGGATTGTTGACTTTGAAGTCCACGGATCCGATTCCGCTCGTCCTCCTCCTGGTCTCATCCCTGACCAGTCGTCTCAGCCTTTGAATATCATGGAGTTTGTGATCATTGCAGTCTTCAAGAAGATATGTCGTAGTTCTGCAAAAGAACCAAGTAATGCGTTGAAGTTCCTTTGACCAATGCCTGCGTTATTCGGCACATCGTGTGACTTCACACCCTATCATGAATATTTATCGTGCCATTGGCTTCCAATCAATTATGTCCTCATTTATGGCTATTAATTGATGCGTAGGTCCATTGCCGGTGTCTATGGGACAGCCTTCGACTGTCTCAAAGTTCGAAGCACAAAATGCATTCGTTTTCCATTTGTCTTACACAAAGCTGTCTCAAACATCAGTACCGCGACATAAGGCACGAATGGCATATGTACACACGGCTAACCAAACAAATGAAGCTCTACTACTGGAGTTTCATTCCTCGCTCAAGTCGCAAAATTCAAGCAGGCTCAAGTGCATGACGTGGCATCGTGGTGAGATTCAGGTTCAATGTGACGATGGCTAATGTGGCTACTGATGCTGACAGCAAGCTTCGAAGTACGACATCACCAAGCTGGGTGGGGCGTCTGTGCCCATTTGCTGGGCACGAATCTGCTCTGGTAACTTACAACTGACCAGCAGTATTTTGTGAACAGCAAAACGGCGTGTACACTCGACGCCAAACGGCGGCTTAGGGCCGCCCTTACGGCACGTGGTCCGGCCCCGCGCTCCGGGCCCTCGACGGCAGAGGCTTCTTCGACTCATGTCGCGAGTGGCCCCCTTCACGCTGCGCCCAGCCGCGGGGCCGGGGGCCACAGCCGCGGGGGACCGAGGGCCCACCGCGGAGACCGCGGGCGCCGCCCGCACGCGCCGCAGCTCCACCGGCGCCACCCGCTGCGCCGCGTCCGCCGGCGCGCGGGCCCGGCTTGGCCGGCGGGTCGAACGCGGCGCGCTCGTTGATCTCGGCCGTGACCGTAAGTGGCGCCGCCCTGGCGGCGGTCGGCGGCACCGCCGCGGGGCGGCGCTGCGAGTCGGACGAGTGGCTGGAGGCCGGCGAGTCGGTGTACTCGTCGGTGGCGGCCGAGCTGCCGCTGGAGGCCGGCGAGACGGGCTGCGGCCGGCAGTGGCAGCCGGCTAGCAGCGGGCGCTGGCTGGCGTCGTCCGCCCGCAGCACGCTGTGGGAGCGTAGCGTCGCCGGAGGCTCACGCTCGTGGCCTGTCGGCCAGGGGCGGACGCCGTCAGCGGAGCACAAACAGGTCGGCACGGCTGGTGCATGCGTCACTGACATCGTCGTGCGTACATAGAAACATGTAGCGTGACCGATGCATGCGTTTAAGCCACGGAGGCTGAATTCTTCTCCACTCATCTTCGAGCGCGCGCGGGCTTGTAAAGAAATGACTGAGTCAATTAAAGCTAAACAGTAAGGAATATTATTTTTAGGACAAACGACATTGCACGTATCCCTGACAACGGAGAAGGGAGATCATAACCCGCTGTGTCTTGAGCCATGTAGCTGTTCTCAAAATTTGTAATTGTACATATATAACAACGTATTTAGCTTGGACATATCCAGCTCCTCAATTTCAAGGGGCTTAATTTCTATTTTGATGACATTTTATATGGTAAACGCACAAAAATCATCCAAGCTGCCCAAAGGAAACTATGTTTAAGACTCCACCGCTCCCTCCCCTGGTGGTTACACGTGTGCAGACCACGTTATCATCTGATCTCCTGAGTTGATTAGCTGTAAGAGGCGTTTGCCGAGCGCCCTTGGGTGGGACCATCCCAGCGCCCTGTGGTGGGACCATACGAGCGCCCTGGGGTGGGACCATCCCAGCGCCCTGGGGCGGGACCATCCCAGCACCCTGGGATTGGACCATCCCAGCGCTCTGGGCTAGGGAGGGGGGCCATCCCAGCGCCCTGGGGTGGGACCATCCCAGCGCCCTGCGGTGGGGCCCATCCCAGCGTCGTCGGGTGGGACCACCCCAGCGCCCTGGGGGTGGGACGATCCCAGCGCCCTGAGGTGGGACCACCCCCAGCGTCTGATGACTGCAGGGTCAGGACGGACTCGTCGGCCTCGTACGCACCTGGTTCGTCGACAGCGTCTGGGCTGTGTTTTCGGAAGCACGGCGGCACGGGTAGGCCCTCTTCCCCGTGCACAACATAGTACACCAGCAATGTCGCGCTCTGTCGGGTCATGTCAGGTCAAGTAAGACGGCTTACTAGCTTGCACCACACCTACAGCGACGCCTCTGTCGTGGTCGATCAGACCGAGCAGCCCAGGTCAGTTATAAAAACGCAATACAGTGTACTAACACACCTCCATCATGACATATCAGGTGGGTGAGGCCTATCTTAACAGTACGTACACTGCAGTATAGTGTCAGGCGCGCGCTCCACCGAGAGCTCGCCAGGTAAAGTCGGGTCAGGTGAGGCGTAACAGCACGCACACTGCAGTACAGTGTCAGACGCGCGCTCCACCGAGAGCTCACCAGGTCGGGTCGGGTCAGGTGAGGCGTAACAACACGCACACTGCAGTACAGTGTCAGGTGCGGTCCACCGAGAGCTCGCCAGGTCGAATCAGGTCAGGTGAGGCGTAACAACACGTACTGCGGTAAAATGGCAGCAAGCCCAAACCGGGCCAGGTCGCCTCTGCACTCGGAGTTACGATGGCGTCAGTGGTGCTCACCGCCGGATAACATAACGGTAAAAAAAAACGTTGTGACTTATGTTGGACCGCGCCATGTGAGCGTTCAACGCGCATGATGGATCTGAACAGGGTGATTACTTTGGCTAGGACAACACAGCGTATTTCATAGCAGCTCTTTGCTTATGACAACAGCTGCCTGTTTCCGCTCGGTCTTTTCACTGGCGATAGGAGCGTTAGACATTTCACAGTTCGCTGCGACAGCACAGCCTTCGCTTCCGCACCGCCTGGTTGTTTCCAGGCGGCGAGTTAATCGGCGCCGGTCATCTGTCAATTGTAGTCCGTACCGTCAGCACGCAGAAGATGGCGAAGAGGATCTCGCAGGCAAGTCCTCGGAAGTTGATGTAAAGAGCGCTGCTGACCACCAGCAGAACGAGCATCATCTCAATCATGTGAGAGCCCATCATCATGTGCACCCTGCCAAAAGCACACCGGCCTGAATCGGAGGTACGATCCCGTGGTAGCGAAAGGGGAAGGGAGGGGGAGAAAAGAGTTCGTGTGTAACTATCGAGCACCTTCTGCAACTTCTTCTGAGTTGACGAATACATCAAAATCGCAGCCGGTTTAACTGACATCACGCAGCAGAACACATGTGGAAACAAAAGTGAAGTTTGCATCACGACCAGTACATGAGTGAGCAATGATAGGTTAAAGAGCGCCTTGGCCACAGATAGCATCAAGCTGAAATATAGCCAGTCACGTTGTAGAAGGACGCGACTGTGCACAAGGGCTGCATTTTCCAGGAGCGCGCGTGATCAGACACGCACACGCGCGTGCGCGAGGGCGGTGGAGCCCGTACCTTTCGCGTATCCAAGCCTCTGTCTCGCACTTGGTCATCGACACCTTGATGACCAGCAGGGCGCGTACATAGAGCAGCAAGCACGTGTCGACCAGGAGCAGCACGGCCACCGGCACCACCACGCCGTAGAAGAAGCTCGAGCTGTACAGGATCCACCAGGAGTGCAGCTCGGACCAGCCGTGCATGTACTGCGTGGTGACGGTGGCCGCCGTCACCAGCAACGGGATGCCTGAGGTCACGCGGGTCAGACGTCACTGGTGCAGCTCAGGTCACAACAGAGGTCGGCACCAACGGCTCCAGGGCGTGTGCATGACATGGGTCATACATCACTGTGGTTGTTGAGGCCGCACCGGCCAGACGTTACCAGAACAGCCGAGCTTGGCAAATCTGGCAGGTCTCGCGACACCGTGACACCAGAGGTGAGAACTCATATTAGTGCGTTACGTTTTAGGGCGCATGGGTCACCCATCACCAGAGCACCACGGATCACACGGGTCAGCCGTCACCAGAGCACCACGGATCACACGAGTCACCCGTCACCAGAGCACCACGGATCACACGAGTCACCCATCACATGAGCGCCACGGATCACACGGGTCAGCCGTCACCAGAGCACCACGGATCACACGGGTCAGCCGTCACCAGAGCACCACGGATCACACGGGTCACCCATCACCAGAGCACCACGGATCACACGGGTCAGCCGTCACCAGAACACCACGGATCACACGGGTCAGCCGTCACCAGATCACCACGGATCACACGAGTCAGCCGTCACCAGAGCACCACGGATCACACGAGTCACCCATCACCAGAGCACCACGGATCACACGGGTCAGCCGTCACCAGAGCACCACGGATCACACGGGTCACCCATCACCAGAGCACCACGGATCACACGGGTCAGCCGTCACCAGAGCACCACGGATCACACGGGTCACCCATCACCAGAGCACCACGGATCACACGGGTCACCCATCACATGAGCACCACGGATCACACGGGTCAGCCGTCACCAGAGCACCACAGATCACACGAGAGTCAGCCGTCACCAGAGCACCACGGATCACACGAGTCAGCCGTCACCAGAGCACCACCGATCACACGGGTCACCCGTCACCAGAGCACCACGGATCACACGGGTCAGCCGTCACCAGAGCACCACAGATCACACAGATCATCCGTCACCAGAGCACCACGGATCACACGGGTCACCCATCACCAGAGCACCACGGATCACACGAGTCAGTCGTCACCAGAGCACCACGGATCACACGGGTCACCCATCACCAGAGCACCACGGATCACACGGGTCAGCCGTCACCAGAGCACCACGGATCACACGGGTCACCCATCACCAGAACACCACGGATCACACGGCTCAGCCGTCACCAGAGCACCACTGATCACACAGATCATCCGTCACCAGAGCACCACAGATCATACGGGTCACTCATCACATAAGCGCCACGGATCACACGAGTCAGCCGTCACCAGAGCACCACGGATCACACGGGTCAGCCGTCACCAGAGCACCACAGATCACACGAGTCAGCAGTCACCAGAGCACCACAGATCACACGGGTCACCCATCGCCTGAGCACCACGGATCACACGGATCACCCATCACCAGAGCATCACAGACCACACGGGTCAGACATCACCAGAGCACCACAGATCATGCAATGCAAACACTAGATCAGAGCTCCTGGGATGTCTCCGTTTCAGAGGTGTGTTATCACCAAACGCCAAGGTTGAGGCTGGACAAGTCATCATCACCGGGCTGGCCCCGGTTTAACCAGGCCGTCGTTGACAGGTCATCTGGGGGTCACGGTTAAATCAGGCAGACGTCCGCAACAACCGCGGTCCGGTATTCAGGTGTAAGAGGGGTCCATGCGTCACCAGAACACCGGAAGCGTGGATCTCCCGGCCAGCCATCACTAGAGCGCTAAGTTCCCGCAGGTCAGACATCATCGAACCACCGACCTCGTCGGGGCACCCAAGGTCAAGCCCAGGTGGCAACGGCCCGGCCGAAACACACCCATGACGGGCAACCGTAGCCGCGCACGCCGGACCTCACCATACAAGCACTGAGGTCACGTCAATATTCGATGTCGGCCCCGCGTGGCAGATGCACGGCCTCCGGGGTCAGAGTATCACTGGAGGTCGCACGGGTCAAAAGTCACCGGAACGGCCTGGAGTCACCGTCACGCACAGCGTTTTGAACGCCCTCTCATACCGCAAGACGTGAAGAACACGATGTACTTGAAGAAGTTCGGCTGGCCGCGTAAGCTGCGCAGGCGGTGCTGCTCGCCGAATACGTGCATCTTCAAGGCCATCTGGGTGCTCATCGCGGACAGGATGAGACACTGGAGCAAGGCGGCGTTGACGGCCATGCTCGCCTGAAGCAGAGCACGGACGTCACTCCTAAAGTCCGAGCACGCTCGCCAGCTGTCTGATTCAAGACGACGTGCGCTGCACTGAAGGCCGGCTACTGGTGAGTGAGTCCTAAGGCTATGGCGGGCGCGGGCACGCCGGTCGACTCAAGGACAACAGGCGGCGAGGTGGCCGAGCCAGACACAGTCAAGAGGCTGCGCCATGGTGGTGCAGCAGAAACAACTGCGCGCCAGACTAATGCAAGTCCACCAGACTAAAACTGAAAAACTGTCATTTGTCGCGTCACAGCGGATATGTGGGTACAGTCAGATGGCAACTGCTGCTACTGTTTGAAGTCTGCCGTCACAGCCTTCAAGCCATGGGGTATCCCACCAGTGCATCAGGGATGATGAGCGCCGGCTGCCGCAGCGGAGAGGCCACTGCTCACCCACCGTTTGGGGGGAGTCGCGGGCTGACACCATGAAGATGACCATGGCGGCGGTGAGCACGAACGCCCCCTGCAGCCGGAGGCCGGCAGGCACAGACGGCCGCCGCAGACAGTGCACCAGCAGCACGCCCAGCGCGTACAGCAGCGGCGGCAGCGACAGCAGGCAGCCGGTCACCACCGGCACGTGCAGCGAGTTCAGCACCGACTGCAGAGGCTGCAGGAGTGCGGCAGCGTCAAGGTGCACCGCCAGCACCGGATCATGTTGGCGCGCATCACGAGCAAACGCGAGTGGTTTGCGTTCAAGATGACTTTAACCTGATCCAAAAGTTCAGAAAACGATGTGAAATGTCTTACTACGCGAAGACAATGACAAAGCACGTGGTAGGAACATATCAAGCCCGTCTCCAACGAATTCAAGACGGGGTCAAGATGCGTTAACTGACCGGCTGGCTGCCATGTCATCACACATTTCCCGTCATGACGCACACAGCACGCGACCGCATCCTCTGCCCACTGACCAACCTCGTCCACTGCCCACTTACCGATGGCGTCCGCTGCCCACTGACCGACCTCATCCACAACTCACTCACCGACCGCGCTTTGGTGAGCAGGGCCAGGGCGTAGGTGCCGAGTTCGCTGCAGCCGCAGCTGAAGCCGCGGTTGTCTGGCAGCACGGTGAGCGGGCAGGCGTCCAGGTGCCAGCGGCCGTCGGCCGCCAGCCGGGCGCAGCTGTGGCTCTGGGGTCGACATGTTCCACTGGCGACTGAGCGGCTCCAGACGCAGCGAGACGTGCAGCGCCGGCGGCGACGGGCTCTCCAGCAGGCGCGGCCGCTTGCTGACACCAACCGAGACCAGCAGCGAGTCCAGCACGAACACGTCCCTGGAGCGGCCCAGGTCGCCGGCCCTGCCCGCATGGGCAGCAGGTCAGAGACGGGGGGGGGGGGGAGGCAGCCAGGTCTGAGCGCTCCGGGCGCAAATCGGGCGAGTTCGGGGGAGGGTGGCCGCGCTCGGACCGAACGTCCCTGAATAGCGCTGTCAACAAGGCCACACCGCCAGAGTACCTGACCTGACCTTTGACCTGATGACCGGTCATCCGCAGCCGAACGGCCCAGGGGCTCCGGCTGTATTGTCAGGGGCGATACTCGCCCGAAGTGAAGCCTGGTGCCCGTCTCAGCTGAGCCCACCCACACTTGCTGAGCGCGCTCAGGGCATTTGAGCGACAGCTGCAATGGCGCTATCACAGCACTGATGCGCGCTTAAGCGTTGCAAAGACATAGCTAAATTCACCACCTATGCCTCTGGAGTGGAAAAAATCAAGAATGAATTGAATTCCAAAACTCGCCGGTGTTTTTGGCTAGGGTCGCTTGCCGTTCAGCAATTTCGTCAATAACCCGGAGCCAACGTTCACGTAACATCGTTCAGCATGCTGAGCATGCTAAACATTCAGTGTGATAAGCATGCTGAAGGTCTAAAGCATTCCACTGTGTATGAAAGCCTTTCATTCCAGTCACACTTTACTCCTCTTACCGACATCACTTAATTGAGCCTGAGATAAGAGCGCGTAGGAGCAAAAACAGATGAAATGCACAAGGCTTGGGCTCGTTCCAAAAAAAAGCCGGCTGCCAATGGCGGACAAAGTGACCCCGGAACACACCTGGCAATGGCGACCAGAGTGACCCCGGAACACGCATGGCAAGGGCGACCAGAGTGACTCCGGAACACACCTCGCAATGGCGGCCAGAGAGACCCCTGAACACCTCTGGCAATGGCGACCAGAGTGACTCCGGAACACATCTGGCAATGGCGACCAGAGTGACTCCGGAACACACCTCGCAATGGCGGCCAGAGTGACCCCGGAACACGCCTGGCAATAGCAGCTAGGGTGACCCGGGAGACGGCTGGTAATGGCAGTCAGTGACCCCGGGAGACGTCTGGCAATGACGGCCAGGGTGACCCCGGAACACATCTCACAATGGCGGCCAGAGTGACCCCGGACCCCGCTTGGCAATGGCGGCTAGGGTGACCCGGGCGAGGGAGGCAGATGAGAAGAGACTTACTTGCTGAGCGGTGTGTAGCCGCGCGGGAAGAGGGCGCGCGTGTTCCTGTTCACAGTCACCACCAGGCCAAGCTGCGACACCGGCTGCGGGTAGGTCTGCCACGACTCCTCCGGCAGGACTGACACCTCGGCAGACATCTCCAGCCAGCTCGGACGGCTGAGATTCCGCCCAACAGCAGCGTCAGTCTCAAGGAGGAACGGCAGGAGGCGGGAGGCACGGTAATGTATGATATTCCTCTGTCATGGTGGGCGGCTGGAAGACTATCGTCATTCACAGCGTCAAATTAGAAGGTTGTATGTATTGCACAATGCTCCGAGTGATCTCGGAGAGCCTTGGGCACGCCAGTCCAGCAGATGCGTTGGGCGACACGAGAGCCTCAGTCTTACCGATCAGCGCCGAACGGCACTTGGAGACGTGCCACGGACCCGTCGTAGCTGATCAGGCGCGTGGCGATGAACAGGTCGGACTCGGTGCTGTTCGAGTCGTCGTCGTCCTCCAGGAAGACCCGGCGCAGGAGGAAGTTCAACTGCACCGTCAGCAGCTGGAACTTCTCCTGAGGGCGGATCGCGCCAGCACAGCGATAAAAACATAAACCAGACTGGAACGTCATCCAAGGGCACCTGTGACCAAGCGCGCGCGACGTAATGACGTTGTGACGCTTTTAGAATCCCCGGCTGGCGCTTTATGTGATGTCTAGTGTAACAGAAGTGATAAGATTATGTTCGCATATCACTGATTCACATTCTCTGTTCACCTGGTCCGTCATGCAGGCGCCGTGCTCGTTGAGAAGTGGTGCAACGGAGCCGAGAAACAGCCCCTCCAGCTGCCCGAACCGCTCGTCCGGGGCGACCTTGAACATGTAGGCGGCCATGTGCACCAGCAGCCTGCGGAAAGCCTGCACCTCGGCCGCCAGCAGGTTGGGCGGCTCCCGCTCCTGCGCCCGTTTCAGCCGCTCCGCCACCAGGCGGCGCAGCCGTCGCAGCGCCGCCTCCGCCGAGATGACGTCATAGCCGGCCATCAGCTGATCCATCTGCCGCGTCAGTGCTGGTGGTGTCATACCTGGCCGTCGCCGACACACACACACAGGCACACACACAGGCACAGCGCGCTGGACATGATGCGGTACGAGGTGGTGTTCTGGTTAAGCTGCGTTTGCTGGGAAACCGGAGATTTGCTCTGGTTAAGCTGGGAAACCGGAGATTCGGGGCTCTACTCCCCGCGGTGCCCGCCATTCCTCCCGGTGTGGAGCATCGCCATATGGCATCGGCAGCTGAGTGCGTTGTAAAAACGAATGACGTGCGGTATTAAACAAGGCGTCAAAGTCGTGCAAAGGACAGGACTGCTGGTTATTAGTTACTCTAATGCTCTCGTCATATGCTTCAGACAATTCACTCAATTCCGCATTGACAAAAGTAGGCAGTTACGTAAAAGATAAGGGTGTTTGCAGACAACGACCGAATGGACGTGAACGATGGAAGCGTTACCACACAGCGGGTGTCAATGCACCTTATCTCCTAATGTCAGATAAGAATGTGAACGTCGCGATGTTGGCCAGAGACAGCGGGAATGGGCTCAACGGTGAAAATGAATTGAATCTGAATTGCAAACCATGATATCATACGCTTGATTGTTTAGGAAATGTATTGCTCATCCTTTGAAACAAAAAACTTGATATCACACATTTCAAGCATAGAATACAAAAGTATGAAAGCGCGTAACACGACAGCCTGTATGGCCAGAAGCATCACTGGGAAGCGATGAACATTAACGTTGCATGGTCGACATGCTGTCCCACCCAAAGCGTTTCCACTTCAACAATATGTGTACAGGAAATGTCTTGGTTTCATCCCTTAACAATTTTGCTCTTGGTACACGATTTTATCTTCTTCTTGTTCTTTTCATGGGGCCAAAAACCAGTTTCTTTAACTTATACATGCTTCTCAGCATGGGTTCCACCGGGAGGGGGTGGGGAGGGGTGGGGGAGGACAGTCTGTCATCAAGGAGCATCTCGGACGAATAAGGTGGCACTTGCCTCCCACGTAAACATGTTGAAACATGGCCTGCACTAGCCTAGACATGTCACAAGTATATTGCAATCGCAATGGGTCAATCCAAATGCATTTTGACATTTTGCATGGGATTATCTTGCATTACGCAAGCTATAAACCATCTAAGAGGCACTGTATTGTTGTTTATTATAGGCATTTTTCGATAGCCAGCCAACATCATTGCATGACGCAGCTATCGCGTGAGTAGCTGCGAGCATACCTGCTTTTGCAGAATGAAGATCTCCGTGTCGACGCAGTTCCCTAAGTCTGGCTCGGCCCAGCTGACCTGGGCTCTGCCCATGACCTCACAGCGCCTCCGGGCGTAACGGGCCGGCACCGCCTGCGAAACACCAGAGCCGCACCCAGGCAAGGTTATCAGCAACGCCAGTCCCTTCCAGGGTGCCGAAACAAATCACCACCGTTGCCAGCTCCACGCGTCGTAATGACGCTCATTAACGGTTTCGAAACAAGGTGACAGTATAATGATTCTAACCGAAACATCTTCAAGAGATGCGGCGGGATCCGTTGAACTGAAAAGCCGTCGGCTGCATGGCCAGCCTCTCACCAACGCACGCCATTTCTACACGTATTCCCTCAGCCGTCTCCTTTCCAGTTGTGAAGAAATGTGTTTGCTCCACGGTGAAAATAACGCCTGGAGCCTTGACACCGGCCTTGACCATACGGATAATTTACCTTGACCTTGACCATGCGGGCCATTCACCCTGACGTTGACCCTTCTGCCTTGACAATACACGTCATTCACCTTGACTTTGACCTTTCGGCCTTGACCGCGTGGGTCATACAGGTCATGCACGGGTCATTCACCTCACCTGAATTGTCTGTCCGGGGAGGACACTGTCCCTGAGGTGGTCAGGGCACGGCTGAATATCTTCCGTGTCGGCCACCGTCTCCTGCCAGGTGATGTCCCCCTCCGTGACCCGGGGGCAGGTCAGGGCCGTGT